GCGGGTGAGTGAGAGAAGGAGTGCCTGAAACGGCGGGCGGGGGAGTCGGCGAAAAAGAGTCTGAAACGGTGAGTGGGCGAAGGAGTGTCTAAAACGGCGGGCGGGCGAGTGGGTGAAGGAGTGCCTGAAATGGCGGGCGGGTGAGTGAGAGAAGGAGTGCCTGAAACGGCGGGCGGGGGAGTCGGCGAAAAAGAGTCTGAAACGGTGAGTGGGCGAAGGAGCGTCTAAAACGGCGGGCGGGCGAGTGGGCGGAGGAGTGCCTGAAATGGCGGGCGGGTGAGTGAGAGAAGGAGTGCCTGAAACGGCGGGCGGGGGAGTCGGCGAAAAAGAGTCTGAAACGGTGAGTGGGCGAAGGAGCGTCTAAAACGGCGGGCGGGCGAGTGGGCGAAGGAGTGCCTGAAATGGCGGGCGGGTGAGTGAGAGAAGGAGTGCCTGAAACGGCGGGCGGGGGAGTCGGCGAAAAAGAGTCTGAAACGGTGAGTGGGCGAAGGAGTGTCTAAAACGGCGGGCGGGCGAGTGGGTGAAGGAGTGCCTGAAATGGCGGGCGGGTGAGTGAGAGAAGGACTGCCTGAAATGGCGGGCAGGAGGCCTCCGCCACAGAGCCATACCCCTCACGCCACAGCATTTCACCCATGTAGCGCCCTCATACCAGCCTAGCTTTCAGCCCGTTTAACCCCCCTTTTACAGTACATTTACCCCCCATTTAGCCCCCATTTATTCCCCTTTTACCCCTTGCTCTACTGCCTATTTACCCCCATTTTATCCCTTGCTTACTTCCCATTTACCCCCTGTTTACCGGCCGTTTACCGCAGCTCTGTGTGGCCCTCTTTAACCCTCACACACTGCTGTCTCTCACTTCTCCACCGTCACCATGTGTTGGGAACTGCCTCTCACGAATAGTCTATATTGTACTCTGTCTTGTGAGCCGTAGCCATTTGCTCACCTTCAGTTTAATACCTCGTCTTTCTTCCAAAGCTCTTCTGGAATACCTCTGAACACTACTTCCTTGCTTGCTTGCTTGCTTGATTGATTGATTAATTGATTGATTGACTGGAGTGTAAATTGAATCTGTGACTTTTACCATCGCCGTCTCTCCTCCCACCCCCCAGGGGACATCATCTTCAACGCCAGAGACCCGGAGCTGCCTCCTGATTTTATTTTTGGGGAGGATGTTGAGTTCCTCCCTGAAGCTTCCGAGCTGCCAGTGAGTAGCCCCCCCCCTGCTGTTTTGTTTGGCACCTGCAGGCGGTCCGGTGTAAAACCCCCTTGGATGGGGAGCTGAGGGCTTCATCCTGGAAGGTGGAGGCGTGTGGTAACGCCATGCAGTCACTAGGTAATAGCGGCCACAGGTGGGGGGCAGTGACCAGCAATGGAAATCCCGGTGTAGGTGTTATGGGGGTGGACCCCGACCGGTGTGCAGGGTATGCTTTGGCTGCTGTGCGGCCATATCTAATTTCCACAGCCGGGTCATTAAGACATCACACAGTGCTTTCAGCACAATGCCTCTCCTACCCTATACCCTTGACGTGAGGGCTTGTAGGATGGACTGCATGAGTAAGCATGCAGATGTGTTCCTGGATGAGGGCTTAAACCGTAGGGGCTTGGGTTCGAGCTGTTCCTGGCCCGAGTCCCAGCCCGGCTCTCTCAAGTAGGGTTGGGCCTTTCCACTGGTGGCTGTTTACCCTTAACCACAGCCCAAGCCAACAGACCCTCACGTTGTTTTGACTCGTCTTTGACTTGATAGCTGCATGAGATAAAGCGGTATTGAAACGCAGGGGTGAGTCACACCCCTAATCAGACGTGGCCAATTGCATAACCCGAGTTTTTTTTTTTTTTTTTTTTTTTCTGCCTCCCTGCCTGGACGTCTTGGATGTGGGAGCAGATGCCAGACTTCCAAGAGGCTCTCACGGAAACGTACATGTTTTTCCCCTGATAGGAC